CAATGTTCCAGAATTCTAACCATATCCACAGTTATAATTTACGAGGTTCAAATTCGTCTCTCTTTCTGCCACGACCAAATACCGAGTATGGCAGAAAATGTTTCGATATAGTGGGGTTAAAATCTGGAATAGCATTCCTGAACAAGTAAGAAACAGCGAATCTTTAAATTTTTTCAATAGAAATATTTCCTCTGTTAGTCTGACGAATTAGCTATTTGACTTTTGTATACCATTTGTTTTGTAATATGTATTTGTATTCGTAGTTCTTAATATTCTTAGTGATTTTGTATTTTATATATTTTTGTAACATTTATCTACGCCCCACTTGGAAAGCAGCTATGGTTGAAGTGGCCAGCGTAGTCAAATAAAGTTTTATCAATATCAATCAATCAATACGAGTAAAACTGAATACATGATTCTTGGCTCCAGACAGAGACTAGGCAAAATAGATGATGAAGCTGAAATTAAATTGGGAGATAATAAAATAAAAAAAGTTTCAGAAACAAAAACTTTAGGTGTTATTGTCGATGACCAACTTAAATGGAATTCACATATAAATACGGTTGCCACCAAAGTATCAAAAGGCATAGGAATGATTCGACGAATGAAAGCTTTTGTACCCCAATCAACCCTTATTTCTGTATACAATTCTATTATCTTGCCCCACTTTGACTATTGCAGCCTTGTTTGGGACTGGAAATGCATATTCGCTCGAAAAACTCCAAAAACTGCAAAACAGGGCTGCAAGAGTCATAACTGGTAAATCATATGATGTCAGATCTAAGGATATATTAGAAGAATTAAGCCGGGAGCCATTGATGGAAAGATGAGGTAATAATAAGGCGATATTTATGCATAAAGTTACGAATGGTGAATACTTAGAAAATATATCTAGCTTGTTTGTCGTTAAAAATAATGACAATTATAATTTACGAAATAATAATATCGATTATAAATTAGAAAAGCCCAAAACAAACTTTTTAAAAAAAAAGCATCAGCTATTCAGCTGTAAAAATTTGGAATGAATTACCAGTAGAACTGAAAAGCCATTGCTTGTCATTAAACGCATTTAAAACCTTGCTTCGGGACAGACCTCAACATAATACTTAAATCTTATCATATTATGTGGTGTACTGTGTAATATGTAATATGTAATGTGTAATGTGTAATGTGTAATGTGTAATTTGTAACTATATACTAATTATTAACCTAACTTTTTTTGTAAATTTGTATTGTGCAACGGCCCCTTGGAAAACAGCTCTTATCTATGCTGAAGGGCTACCGTTGTTTTTAAAGAAGATTAAATAATAATAATAATAATAATAATAATAATAATAATAATAATAATAATAATAACAAGTACGCACGACAAGTGCGCTCGTGTGCGGCGGGCTTAATAATATGATAAAATAAATATCAATTGATCAAATATGGTCACAATTTCGCTATAGCATATTCGTTTCTTGCGTGTCTTATATTAACCAGTTGAGCCTTTAAAACGATTGTCTATATATACTTACCTGTAAAATACTCATTAATTTTATAATAATTCATAAACCTTGTGGCAAATCATGTCAGCCATAATCAGGTCACGTGGAGTGACTTTATATCTGAAGCATGCGGCATTATATAATTAATTGTTCATCCTAATTAATTAGTATATAATTATAAGCCCCGTTTACTACGCTCAATTTTTTACCAAAAATTGAGCGTAGTGTAAAACGGGGCTTAACTAAATAGGCCGTCCAAGAACCAAAACAGTGGTACGGGTACGGGCAATTTTATCCGTGATGTACCAAAAATTGAGCGTAGTGTAAACGGGGCTTATGTAATAATGGTTCATCCTAATTAGTATTCTTTTGTAGTCGTATTTTAAGCTATTCAAAACACTCGTTGTCGTACGATAAAACACTCCTACTCGTGTAGGAGTGTTTTATGTCTGTTTTATATCGTACAAACGTAGTGGAGTTAAACCAACCGATAATTAATATTTAAAATGTTATTTTACGTTTTTTTCATTAAACGAATTCATTTCACTTCACTGCCTGGTACTGTCTATTTCGAGCATTCACATGCCCAATATCAATTTTCGAGCTGTAGCCTAGTAAACAAAGGGGGAATCCCGCTTACGGGGGGTTGGTCCTTGCATTAGCATAACCTAACTTATACGAGGCCTCCAGAGAAAACTAAAAGCGCTAAAGACAAGCTGATTGTTTTAAATAATGTGTAATTTATCAGTGAAGAATGAAAAATAATATTTAAGGGTATGTTAATTTTTGGCTGAGATAGAGCATTTTTAGTATGCTGACTTGTCGACTGACCTGCAGTAAGTGTCAATATGTGGTGGTTCGACGACTCGTCTTGTGCAAGCTGTTCAGTCAAAGTTTAAATCGGTATAAGCTTAAAAATAATCTCATATGATGCGAATATTATAGGTAAAGAACGAAAAAAATATTATGACGATAAAGAAACTTGTGGCAGAGAATGAGCGTTTTGAATCGCTAAGCGGCACGCGTGTTTGCAGTCTCCATCAATATGTCGCTGTTCGGTGACATAACTTATGCGAGGCCTCCAGAGAAAACTAAAAGCGCTACAGACAAGCCGAATGCTTTAGGTGATGTGTAAATTATCAGTGAAGAATGAAAAAATTTATTATAGCGTTACATTTATTTCTTACGACGATACAGAGATTTAGATAGGAACTAACCGTGTCTTGCTCAAGATTTAATTGACCCGACACGGTTTGGCGACTTGACTTATGCAAGCTGTTTAGAGCAATCTAGAAGCAGTAGCGACTCAGGGATTGCGTTATATGATAGTCCTTTTCTTGAAGAAGAATGAAAAAAATTATTGTTAAGATGGGTGAAGGCTTTGTGGAGTTAGAGCCATTCGAACACGAACGCCATGCCTCTGGCTCCAGATTAAATCTGAAACTGGAGCTGCGAATCTGAAACTGGAGCTGACTGGCTTCTCGTTTACTTGGTCATGCTGATTTCAGAGGGCATGACTAGACCGCGAAATGCGTGGAACATGCTGTACACACGAAATTCACACGAACTCGCCATGGTTGTTGCTAGGTAACCTATGCAAATGAGCAATATTTTGCCAAAAATGACTTAATATAGCGAAATCTTGTCTAAAGTACTTGTGAAAGTTTCGAAAAGCTAAAAGATTTGAATTTGAATTTTAGCGGAAAGAAATTATTTATTTTTGGGAAAATTTTTGATCATGCATGACCGCTAGCTACGCCACTGTAATTACTCGCTGGGGCACTGTGCCCCAGACGAGTATAGGTTTCGGCACGCATTTTTGGTGGATGTCAGATGTCAGATTTCCGATGTGAGATTTCCGGCGATCGTCGTTGATAGCCACAAAATAGAATATTAATGAGCTGCCTAATCCCCCCCCCCCCCAATTATCCATAAGGCTCCTGCCAATTTTACCCAAATTATCCACGGCGGGCTGTAAATGCCACGATTGCGACCTTTTGCCTGTCCGGCAAAAAAAATCAAGATGGCGCCCAGAACTGTCTAGTCTAAAATATCATGCTAATTCATTTGCTTGAAATATACAGTGGATACACTAAGTATATTATAGGAATAAATGAGTTTTTGAGGACTACCTAGGGTCACTCTTTGTTTTTGAGGGTTTGTTTATGAGGCCAATCCCTTTTATCCCTAATTATACCGTGGTTTTGCAAAGAAGTAACCGCCATTACGGTTAGCACTTTTTTCCATCCAGCAAACCGCCCTGTCGATTTTCTAAAGCGTTTTTTTGGGGGACTTTTTAGTTTTTTATTAATTCGGTTAGGGTTAGGGTTAGGGTTAGGGTTGTGGTTAGGGTTAGGGGTTAGAGTAGGGGTAGGGTTTGTTTCATAGCCATTTAACACCTCTTCTATCTTCCGAAAATGACGTCAGGTCAGTTTGCTGGATGGAAAATAGTGCTAACCCGCCATTACACCCAGGTGATCTTGATACGCGGAAAAGTACTGGCACTAGTTGTCAAATAGAAATCCATTTTATGATTAAAACAACTGAATATCTCCTGTAATATACTTTATTTCGATTCCATATTTTTGTCAGAGCTATAGTTCTCATAACCAAACATAATTACAAAATTTCAACTACTTTCATAAACAATAATGAAAGATATAATTGACTGAATACATCAAAATGGATTTCTATTCGGACAACCCTTTCTGAGCGCTGATTCGCTAAAATACGAACACGAGATCACCTGGACGGCAAATGGTGTAAGATTTTGGACCCATTTCAAAGCTTTACTGCAGTGATCATGAGACTTTTGAGAATTTCAAAACCATAGAAATTTTAATTATGGCTATGTTATTGATAATCAAGGACTTTCTGCTTTAAAACATGTCTTTGTAATGAGAACTTTGTGGAGACAAATTGGCAGACTGATGAGTTTTAAAAAATCTGCCGCGAAAGATCGGTTTCCTCTTGGCGAATTGGCTCAAGAACGAAAAAAGTTGAGAGAAGATTGTGTTGCAAAAAATGCTACGATTGTTCAGTTAAGAAATGACCTAAAACAAGTCGATAAAGATATAGAGAGAACAACAAAAAGGGTATGTAGTAAACAAATGTAGTGTATTTATAATTAAATGTCAAGGCGTCGATGAATGACATTTGCACAAACCCAAGAAGCACATGAATTTTTATTTAGTATTTATTACTATTCATTAAGTATTTTACTCTTACATTTACTGGACTATGTTAGCCAAGATAGACGATAGTCCCTTGAGAATAATGGGTTTAAATGCACCCCAAGCAGAATTGGGCTATTACATTTAATATCCGTACCCCCCCTGTCGAGGACCTCATTTTCCAAGGGGGAAATTAGTCATTTTTTCCAGAGGGGTAATTGGGAAAAATGGAAGAAAAATGCTCTTTCCAGAGGGGTTAAAAAGCAAAAATGCACTTCCAGAGGGGGTTCAAGTCTCTTCCAGAGGGGTCAATTACACAGATTTTCTTGCATTCCAGAGGGGTAAAAGTCCCCAAAAGCAGAGGTCCTCGACAGGGGGGGTTTGGTTTTTTAATGTAATAGCCCATTATTAATATCCCCCATGGCATGTCTTGTTAATATTTGTTACCATTATTAAAACAGAAATATGCCCTACTATATTTAATGCCATATTATCATATCTAATGCTAACAAAGGGAGACTCTTAGGCTTTATCTGATTTGTAATCAAAGGCGATATCACTTTATACCTGATAGGTCACACCCACCCTGCCTGAAAGTTGTAATAAGATTGTCTCACTATTTAGTGAAGATATCAGGCCCGGTCTATTCAGTGCATCTTTGCAGACACAGGACAAATAAATAAGTTACTACTTTGCATTCCTATGTATGGTACTAAATGATACTAACTGTTACAGCTTAAGCGTCGTAAAGAAAAGCTTACATCACTACTTGAGAATGATGACGAAACTGGAACAAGGTTACCATCCAAGAGAAAGATGACATTTCGACAAAAGACTCCCTCAGAGGTAAATGTAGAGAATTCAGATACCTTTCAAGCCTCCTTATCTGAGACGTCAAGTCGAAGAAGACAGAAGGAAACTTTGAATGCATGCAAAGAAATACATGGTGATCAGAAAGGTAAAAAGTCATCAGCCCTTGCTGGAATGTGGGTAACATTGGTAAACAAATCATCAACTGATACACTTAAAGATTTTCTTTCAAATTCTGAAACAGTGAATAAAAAGATTATGCCTTCAATAGTAAAATCGGAGACAGAACTGTATCAAAGTGGTAATGATAATATTTGCCGTAGCCTCAAAATTCTGTATGAGGGAGGTCTTTTGACGAAAGAAAAGTACAAGTCTGTATGTAGAAATATTTTAGCCATTGTACCAAATTCTAGCAATGTATTTAATCCCAAGCTGCTATATTATGATAAGCTCATAGCCTTTATAAAGTCAGCAAATAATGTGGACAATATCAGGGATTTTTCAGCTGAATTTTGTCAAGAATATGACAAATTTGAGGAACAAGTTCCAGGTTCCTACAGAGAGTTAGGCAACTTTCTTGTAGTTTTAGCTGAGTTATATATTGTTGTTGATCAGACGTTGCCCCAACCATTTTTACACCATTTTGGAAGTACCCCTTATCATTTCAGAATTGCCCTTGGTGCAGATGGGGCACCTTTCGGAAAAGATGACGAAGCCACAGCATGGCTTATATCATTTTTAAATGTTGGCAAGCATGTGCAAAGCCAAAATGACAATTTTCTTTTGTGTGGAGCAAATTGTTCTGAGACACATATGAGCATGCAGAGATATGCTAGGAAACTTGTTTCTGATATTGCCTACATTGAAAAGCAGACT